AAATTTGAAATAGTGGTTATATTGCCTGGGTTTTCTTGAAGGCATATCAATATAGTCCTTTCACAAAGAGTATTGCACTTCAAGATAGATTTTGAAATACCCTTTTTGACAATGAATGCAATGCCATCCTTCTTGATTGTGTCATTCTTGGCATAGTAAATCATATGTTTTTCTGATTCAAAATGGCCAATACCAGTCCATTTCAGCTCATTAATGCCTAGGAAGGATATCGATCTTTATGCATTCCATTTCATTTTTTAATGACTTCCAATTTTCCTAGATTCATACTTTATGCATTCTAACTTCTGAATATTAGAGATTTACAACTGCTTCTATCTGATCCCACCTCTCCCCTACCTCCTATGTGTTTTTGCGTTGTCAGGTTTCTGTCTTCAGCTAATGCTACTTTAAAAAGTTCAAGATGCCCTGTCAGGCCTACTAACATTTCACCTGTCTTTTTCCTGTCTCACTGCATATGTTCAGCTTCTTACCCTCGTGGGTATTTAATCCACTTCTCTATCCTTTTCTCTGAAGATCAGTATTCCAGGATTATCATCCAGATTTGTTTCAGTCATCTCTTGTCTTTGTTATTCTGCTGCTATTTCCAGATTTGGTAAATTTTTAAAATAATAACTTTGTTGTGCTCCCTGCTCTGTATACTAAGTAAGTATAGTCCTTGTCACAGATTACACAATCAATACATATTCATTAGCTGAATAATCATGTATATATGATATACCTTTTTTATAGCATTAAGTTTTAAAACAATGGTTGTAAAAGTCTAATTATTATTTAAAATTGAATGGTTGGCTGCTATAAATAAATGTGTTGTTTTTTAATTCTTAAAACTATCATTAAGAAAATATGCCATTCTTTTCCTCTTTTTTTATAGTGGAAATTTGTGGTAATGTTAACGCTTGTATTATTTTAGATTTGAAACCTGACAATCTCAATAGGCAGCCAGAAAATATTTAGGGCCCACAACTACAGCAGCACTAACAATAAAGAACAAGTAAGGAGGCTACTTATGTACAACCAAACACCTTGGTGCCTATGCTTGGTTCCTGGTTTCATGATACTTTCCCATTTAATTGACCTAATACCTTTTTTTAGTGCTCTTGTTCTCTCTCTCTCTCTCTCTGCATTGCCTAGGGCCTAGGGTCTTAAGAGCTTGTAAACAGCCATCTAAGGTAAATAATTGGTTTCTGTTCTGGAAAACAGGAAAAAGGAGAACCAGGCAGGACTAGGCAGAGGATATACAGTGCATGGTTAATCGCCTCCATGAAAATTGAATTCTTGATCCTTTTCTGGTTCATAAGCATGATGATTGGGTCTTCATGCATCTGTGTGGTATGTGCCTCTCTTAATCCTTGTTACGAGGTCGCACATTACCCGTCTGACACCAAAAAAAAAATGGACTTTTTTGCTCTGAGACCAGAATAGGACAGCATTTTTGAACATTTTGATTTGAAAGATACACAATGTAGAACAGAATTTTAATTTCTCATAGAATTCAATCCTTCTGGATTCCTGGAGGTTGGATGAACCTCTTGGAACTAATGCCCTCAGATAATCTTTAAACCTTCAACCTCAATTATTCCCTATGAAATATCTAAACCAGTCAACAACAACAAAGAACCAACCCAAACTCACAGCCATGTAGTCATCGCCGACTCATAGTGACCCTATATGACAGGATAGAACTGCCCCTGTGAGTTTCCCAGATGGTAACTCTTTAACGGGAGTAGAAAGCCCCATCTTTCTACCTCAGCATGGATGGTGGTTTCAAACTACTGACTTTGTAGTTAGCAATCCAATGAGTAAACACTACATCATCAGGGCTCCTAACAATACCCAAACATTAGTTTATGCCTGGAACATTGAACTCTTTTAGGAATTATCTATATAGGATAAAATTGACGCAGCCATTTGAAAGATTAGATTGGAAATTTAGGGGGTAGTGAGTTAAGGTTACTGTTAGGATGAACAATGCAGAAAAGGAGGATGCGAGCAATTGCTTAACTTGAAGAATCATTGTCAATAAACTGTACATGTAGACATTGAATTAGTGTATGTTCTGTTATATTAACAATAAAAAAATAACCTAAGACCAAACACAAAGAAGTCAAGAATGTTGATGGTAAAGAAAATTTTTATATTCTCTTTGGAGGCCTACAGGAAATATACTTTAATCACTAGGAACGGATATTTATTGTAATTTTAATTATTTAGCTTAGGTACTTCCATAACCCTTAAACTTACTTTGTCTTTATGATGATTTAATGTCATTCTCTGCTGACTTACAGTATTGCTTTGCCTGTTCTTTATTAGTTGTAGAAAGCTGCATCCTTTTTCTTTCATTCATTGGCTTATTTTTTCTGACTTGCTAAGAGTCTCTTATGTGCCAAGCATTTGTCAAATTGTCTGCCTAAATTATAATGAGACTGAATGAGGTAAACAATGTGAAAATGTTTTGTAGATTCAAAATGACATTGAAATGCAATTATTATCAAATAATTCTTATTGAAAGTACTTATAGTGTAACTAAGAATCAAATCTGCCAAAGATTTTGTGTGAAATGTTTTATAAAAGTATAAAAAATAGATTACTGAATATTGAAATGGTTAATGGAATAGGCTTTAAAGAAAAATGAATCAGATTTTTTTCTGTTATGGTGTATTGGATGGAGTACAATTCCAGAGAAGTTAGGACTGTGGGAGGAGTTGAAATTTGCTCTACCTTAGGAAATATTACAAAGTTAATATCCATTTTATCATTTTCCAGATTAGGTATTGTTTTTGTAAAGACAGTGGAAGTGGTTCTCAACCTTCCTAATGCCACGACCCTTTAATATGGTTCATCATGTGGTGATGACCTCCAACCATAAAATTGTTTTTGTTGCTACTTCATAAGTGTAATTTGGCTACTGTTTTGAATCTGGCAATCCCTGTGGAAGGGTAGTTTGACCCCCCCCAAAGGGGTCACGACCCACAGGTTGAGAACGGGTGCTGTAGCTACGCCTGAGTTGAGAGAATGTATAGCTATGTAGTTCATCTGTCCATTTTTCTGGTTACCTAAAATTTATGCCTATTCTTCCTGGACCATAGTTTCGGATCCCCTTCTATGGAAATGGTTGAACTCAATTGTATATTGGCATGTTTTTTTTCCATTTGGTCTCTCCTTTTGCGGTTGTTTTGTCTTTTATACATATCATGTTATTGTACGATGACTCGTGATCAAATTCTTAGCCCAAGAACAGTTGTTTTCCTTTCCTTTCCCCCCGTTTTAAATTATGAGTACTTTAAAAATGGAAATTGGATTGTCTTGCTAGTTGAAATTTCTTTTTGTGTTTCTGAAAGGTTTGTGCCAGATTCGTGGCTCTCCTTTTACAAATACAGGCTCTCTGGAGGTGCTGCGAGTTAGGCGATTGGGCTTAGGACTGCAAGGTGGGCTGTACAAATCCACCAGTCAGCCGCTGCTCCGGAGTAAGTGGTTGGCTGCTTTCGGAACGATTTACTGTCCCGGAAATCGAGCCAGCAGTTCTGCTCGGCCCTGCGGCCTCGCCGAGAGTCGGAATAGATTCGCCTAGGTAGACTGGTGTGTGTGTGTGTATGTGTCTGATTGATGATTTCACAAATATGTAGACTCTGTCTGGCAACTTTTTACTTAAGGCAGTATAATTTTAGTTTAGCAAAACCTGGAATCAGTCTGGGTTCAGATCTTGGCGCCACCTTTTGGTGTCCAGATTGGGCAAGTTGGTTGATCTCTGGCAAGCCAGTGGTGTCAGGAGAGCTAGGGGTGGTGGACTTCCCCCGGGACATTGTCTGAGGAGGCCACACCACGATGACCCCAGGGTCCATGGAGATGGACAGACCGGCGCCACAAGGGGAGTGGACATTTTTAAGAGGGTTGGTGTCACCTGTTATCCAGTGCAGACATCTAACGGGGTAACTGGTCTGCACACCCTCCGCCGCCGCTGCGTCTGGGTGCAGTGGGTGTGCTGCACGTACACGGCCAGCCGGCCAGCCGGCCGGGCCAGCCAGCCAGCGAGCCAGCCAGCCAGCCAGCCAGCCGGGCGGTCTCTGACCAACCGAGAGGCGAGGAGCGTTCAGGCGGTGGAGACTGCCCCGTGGGCAGTGGAGCTGCAGATGTTCTGGGCCCTGAGAGGAAGGGTTAGGGTCACAGCTGGCCGCTCATGGACCCTGTGTGTGTGTGTGTGTGTGTGTGTGTGTGTGTGTGTGTGTGTGTGTTTCCTTGGGGACCCTACATGACACCATGAGTTACTACACTGCATGGACATCTACCGTGGTGACGCCATTATTGCAAGCCTCAATTTTGCTCCATGGAAAATGGAATTGATAGTGCACATTTAGAATAGCCAACATAAGAATAATTGATGAAAACCCTTATACAGGTCTTAATATATCTGGAATAGTCATTTTTTCTATGACATTCCCTTTATTTTATCTACTTAAATAATTGATTTTGTATTATATATTTATTATATCTGATCTAAAATACGTCTTGGGACAAGGCAGTGTAGAAATACTTAAATGTTGGTTTCTTGGCACATTGTAATTTACTTAAAATATGAACATTAAAAGCATTCATAATTGCTTTACCATAACTTTCTGAAAATACAGGGATTTTGAAAATAGGCATACATGAAAATATACTTTCAGACCATTTTCATCTCAAACATGACTGTTGTATTCAGGTAGGTGTGGTTGGTTTTCTTAAGATATTTTCTGTTGCATTCTTTTTTTGGTAAAAGTTTCGTTATCATTTGAAAACTGTCACAAGACTAGGGAAGAGCATTCCTTATAGAACTATTTAATAAATAAGTTCCCCAGTTTGAAGAGCTAGACTTTTATGTGAGGTCAGGCCAGTTGAAGACATTTACAAAGAATCAGTTGTTTGTTATTGCTATGTGAGTTGCAAGAATGGAAAAAAAAGAAATTCTTTCTTCAATACTTCCTTCCAGGCTGAGTCATCCCTAAGGAGTGGGAAGGGCAGCAGTAGCAGCAGCAGCAGCAGCAGCAGCAGCAGACGACGACGAGGACGACGATCCAAACTCCAAAGCTGATTATCACCAACTACCATTTCTCTAAGTTGGGGCTCAGAGGGGAGCCATCATGAGCGATGTTACCATTGTGAAAGAAGGTTGGGTTCAGAAGAGGGGTAAGTGTTCAACAAAACCAAAAATCATATGGTTGGTAAGAGCACTAATAGTTACTGGTGGTCTGAAAATGCACATTTTTAGGGTGTGTGTGTGTGTGTATTGCTGTGTTAGCAAAGTAAATTGTTGCATGTTATGTCCCATAAGAGTGCATTACTATTTAGGAGTTTTTTTGTAATTATCAATTTTAATAGTTGATAAGTCAGATTTGACTTTTGTTATATGTTGTGTACATGCGTGTTGTATAGTTAGGGTGGTCTTTTTCTGTGGTATATACATATTCTATAATATGATGTATCTTAAACATTATTTAAAATTTAGAAAAATATTTGTATGCCTTTCAAAACTTGTAATAAATGCATAAATAAAGGTTTTCTGTTACATGAAGCTTATTTTCGTGGTGACAGGGGCAGGCATTAAGTAGTAAAGGGTGGAAGGTTTGTCCCCAAATTTGTGGATCAAACTATTTGGTAAATCAGGTAAAGTCCTAAAATAGAAGGCCAGATGATAAGAAAGGTTTTATTTTAAATATATGTTTTAAGTTTATTTTTTTATAATCTATTTTATAATTTATTATTCACTCTTTTGATAACTCAGATGCTTCTTTTTAAAAGGGTGAATTCTTTGATCCATAGTTTACTCTGAAACCACCTGCTTATGTGGTCAGTGTGTTTATTAGAAATCTAGAGTTTAGACTAGTAGCTAGGCAACTACTATTTACCCAAATTAAATAAAATGAAGACTGTTCCATTACCTGTATATGCATTGTCTGGTTAAAAGTTACTTTTTAGACATTTATTTTAATAATAGTCAATTTTACAATAATTGTGAACAGTTGACAGTAGTTAAATGTGATTATTACATTTTTCAAAATCAACTCATAGTGGTATTATTTACTTAGAATTAAGATTGACCAATTTTAATTCTGCATTTTGATGAATTTTTGGTCTCACTCTTTCCTCAGCCCTACTAAGTAAGCACTGCTTTCTGTTACTATACTATTATTTTTCTAGAGTTCCACCTAGAGACATAGTGTTTTGTGTCTGGTTTCTTTCACCTACCGTAATACTTCTAAGATACTTCTGCACTACTTATTTAAAGACTTAGTTCTTTTTTGTTGTTAACTCGTATTCCATTATCTGGATATACCACAATTTATTTTTTGCATTCACTAGTTGGCGGACATTTGGGTTGTTACTTAATGGTAAAATGTTTTCAGTTTTTGACTTTTCAATAAAGCTGCTCTGAACATTCAATTACACATCTTTGTATGTTGGGCTGCATAGCATGTATATGTTTAACTTTGTGAGATATGTATGTTTTAAAGTAATGAGAACTTTTGAACTGTTTTGCTGGAGGAAGATGGGTTTTTCTACTCCCGTAAACAGTTCAACCTCAGAAACTCACCGGGCCAGTTCTACCCTGTCCTGCAAAGTTGCTATAAATCGACATCAACTCGGTGGTAGTGAGTATGGTTGCTTTTGTCGTTGCTTTTCTATTCCCTTAAAGTTACAGCCTTGAAAACCCACAGGGGCAGTTCTAGTCTGCCCTATAGGGTTGCTATGAGTCAACATCAACTTAAAGCAGTGAGTCGTTTGAGTTTACCAAACAGTTTAGGAGCACTGCTGGTGTAGTAGTTATGCATTAAGTTGTGAGCTGCATCATCTGGTGAACAACAGAGCTTTTTATTTCTATGAAGAGTTACAGTCTGTGAACCTCACAGAGGCAGTTCAGTCCTTTCTTGTAGGGCTAGTATGAGTTAGCATTAATTGCATGGCAGTGAGTTAGATATATATATTTTTTATTTTTAGTTCTACTCTTGGAAAGAGTTACAGTCTCACAATCCCACAAGGGTGGTTTAACCTTGTCCTTTTAGGGTTGCTGTCAGGAGCCCAGGTGGCGTGGTGGGTGTATAGGTTGGACTGTGATACACGTGGTTGGCAGTTTGAAACCATCAACGGCTCCATGGGAGAAAGATAAGGGTTTTCTACTCCAGTAAACAGTCACAGCCTCAGAAACTCACAGGAAGGTTGCCAGGAGTTGGCATCAACTTGGTGGCAGTGAGTTTTGAGTTTTTTGGACCAAAGTATTTACCCAAGTGGCTGATAGTATTGTCAAACCTCTTTTCTTTCCTTTGGAAAGCATTTTCAGATTTGTGTGCCATATGTTTTGTTTTGGTGGTGGCTATTTTTTAACTTGTCTAATTTTATTTCTCCTCCTCTGTTTTATTGGGGAGGTGATAAATCACATAAACTTTTAGAATGTACTTATTTCTAAAATCTGGTCTCACAAGATTGTTGTTAGGATTACATGAGATAATGGACGTGAATATACTTTGGCAATTCAAGCACAAATGTAAGTTACTCACATCTCCACATTTTATCAAATGAGTAGGGTGGCTGTTGATTCTGTGTCTGGACTGACTGTAACAGAAGGTAGCAATTAGTGCATGGAATATAGAAAGGGGAATAAATGAGTAAGAATTTGTTATTGTGTTTTCTGCACTAGTGGAAGGTGTGTATGTAATGATTGTGTGAATGTGTGGATGTGTTTAGAGAATTAATGGCCATATAAAAATTCAAATATGAGTAATTCACAAAAGTACAAAAAGACAAGAAGTCTTTCTACGCTCTGTCTTTTCGTTTCATTCTTCAAAGTATACAATTTTAGACCTTTTCCATGCTTCAGTGCTTCTGCTGTTATCTTATTTATATATAACCTTCTAAACTTTACATTTTGACTAAGCAATTTTAATTAATCTGTTTTCTCTGCTATGAACAGTGGATTTAACTCTTAATATCTCTTCTCTCTCTTTTCTCAACACTTTTTGTTGTATTGTTATTTTTACTTTTTTATTTTTGTGTTGATTATCTTCAGAATTTTTTGCTTATAGTTAAAACTCTAGTTCTTGGACAATTAACTTTAGAAAGTATTTTGTTGCCATCTTTAAACATTCCATTTTGTAAACTGAATATCTCACTTGAATTCCTCACATGCTCTTGCTGATTTATATCAGCTGTAACATTCATTTAATATTGTCAACATTTATCATAGTTGCATTTGTTGAGCCCAAAAAGCAGTGAGCAATATTATGATTATGTAAGTAATACATAGTCAGAAATCCCACTGGCATGCCACAGGTAGATTCTGACTATATATAGGGTTTCTAAGGCTATAAATCTTTACGGAAACAGCCTCATTATTCTCTCTCAGAGAGGCTGATGGGTTTGAACTTACCAACACTTACCTGACAGTACCACCAAGGCTCCTTTATGTAATTGTTACTGCTACATAAAGTATTATGATGGGATCTACAATGAATTTCTTATGTTGTTCAAGATTACCATATTCCTTAATTGGGTTCTAGTTGAGCCCATGATTTTATTTTTCCTAATTGCCATGTTTAAAAAATTTTTTTTTCATTAATGGTAGAAAAATATATGCCTTCTTTAATGTATCACTTCCTTATATGGCTTCTAAATCATACTATTTATTGAACTTCTAATGACCGATGCACAATATAATGCTATTTAATTCCATCCTTAAACAAGCTGTATGCTATCTTAGGTCTCATCTTTTTTTTTTTTGTCTGTATTTTCTTCTGGATTTCTTTTTCAGTTTTTCTAGAGTAATACTTGAAATATTTTTTTCCAGAAAGAATCTGTGTGGGTACAGTTTTTGAAAATGTCTTTTACACTTTCATACCAGATAGATTCCTTGGTTGAGGAAAGAATTCAAGGTTAAAATAGTTCAGAATCTGAAAGGTTGCATTCCATTGCCTTTTAGTACCCATCTTACTTATATGTTTGATGTCAGTACGAGTCATCTCTTTGTAAATAACCTGTTACTGTTTTCTGGAAGCTTTTAATATCAATAAATTTTGAAGTTTAAGGAGGATGAGTTAAAATTCTTTTGTTATTCACAGAGTAAAGCATTGGCAGACCCTTTAAATCTGTTTTTTTTTTTTTAGTTCTGGGAAACATATTTCTTTTATAATTTGTTTCTCTTCCACATTTTTTGTATTTTTTTATTCCTCAAACTTTCGTGTTAATCTTATGTTTCTTAATTAAAAAAATTTTCTCCATGCATTTGTTTTTTTCCACTATGCTCTAGAAGAGTTCCTTGACTTTTCCTTCTAGACCTTTATTCCATTTTTTGTTTTAACTATAACTTTATATTACAAGGAGCTCTTTCTAGCTAAGAAAGTACCTGGCTTGTGCAAACAGTTCAGACTCTTAATGCTGACTGCAGGTTTGGTGGTCCGACTTCATCAGAGATGCCTTGAAGGAAAGGACTAGAGGGTTCCTTCCAAAAGTCATCCACTGAAACCCCTGTGGAGCATGGCTCTACTCTGATGCACAGATGGTTGCCTTGAAATGAAATGATGGGACCGACAAATTTTTTCCCCCTCCCTTTTCTACTCACCTTTTATTTGATAGACACAATATATTTTTGAATCTCAGGACACTAACTTTTTGAATCTCAGGACACTAATATTTCAACTTTTTTTCTCTTTGCGAAGCGACTTTTGGTAACATGCTCCATTCCCCCCATCCCTTGTGTTTGACTTGTGTCTGTTTTTATTTATAAGCGAAGGAATGATTTTACTGGTCGTTTCCTCCTTTTTTAGGTGGGTCTTGCTACCAGCTCTGTGTATCTTCTACCTACTTTTACAATTTACTTATATTTCCTTCTATGTTAGACAACTTTAATTTAGTAAATGAAGATTTGTGATGCTAATATTTATGATAATCTTTAACCCTACTCTTCAAAACATTAATTGAAATAGGAGGAGGAAACCTAATTTGGCATGTTTTATTCTCCAGTATCCCATAATTTATTCCTTTTGCAGTTTTCAGTGTTATTTTGATGATTCAAAAATATGTGTAAGTGTTGCTTGACTATATTTGTATCAAAGAATTTTCTCATAAAAGCATTATTATTTACTGCCTGTATAACCAGAGCATTTACTGTAACCTGAACTTTGGTGTACTCCTTTAAA